ATAGTCCTTGAGTATGTAAGTACCAAGTTTCATTGAAATGTAATGCTAACTACTTATATCAAATGCTGAAAATTAATTAATTATGCAAATTAGGTAATTAATATGTACTGATATTACCATAAAAACTATCAGGTCTGTGCAGTGTCGTATGACATCTATGTACCAAGTTTCATTGAAATGTGATGATTAGTACTTGAGATATCAGTGGAAAAACCGAAAATTGACTAATCATTATGCAAATTAGGTAATTAGTATCCACGGATTATTACCAAAAACTAATCAAGACCTAGCATTAGTTCAGAGCATCTATGTACCAAGTTTCATCAAAATCCAATGAGTGGTTGTTTAGATATCAGTGGAACAGTCATGGAACCACTAAAAAATAGCTAATTATCATGCAAATTAGGTAATTAATATGCACATATTTTTACCAAAAATTAATCAAATCTGCGCATATGTTCAGAGCATCTATGTACCAAGTTTCATCAAAATCCAATGAGTGGTTCTTTAGATATCAGTGGAACAGTCATAGAACAGCTAAAAATTAGCTAATTATCATGCAAATTAGGTAATTAACGAGCATGGATTTTTACCAAAACCTAATCAAATCTGCGCATTGGCCCAGAGCATCTATGCACCAAGTTTCATCAAAAACCGATGTATGGTTCTTGAGATAGCAGTGGAACAGTCGGACACACATACACACATACACACACACATACACACATACACACATACAGACACACTAACTGCAAAGACTCCCACATTTTGTGCTTCGCACATGGGAGTCAAAAAATAAAGGAATGGGATAGCTATAATTGGATAAAATCGGCAGATGAAAACACCAAAATCAACGATTTTTTTTCAGTGGCTGTGTGACCTTGTGTCTGAAAGATTCATATGCAAATGACTAATCTGTGAAACAAACAGGGGCGGAGATAAACCACTCAAATGTTTGGAAACACCATTGTGTGTCAGATAGCTACTGATAACACATCCTAACATTGCTTTGTCTTGAGTTTATCTTTGGAACTTAGAGGCACACAGATTAAACCTGTGTTGTTGATTTTGGAAAACACTACTGAGGCTGCCTTGCTTCCATTCAGAAAATCAACATTTTAACCAACTTACATGACATTCTATGTTATGTTGACTTTATCAGATGAAAGTTTATAGTGCATTTCATCAATTAATAAATAAATGTGAAAATCGTAATTTTCAACACAAATAATAGTCTCGCTACCTTAACTAGTGGAAAACTGTTGTTGCATATGTTTATGAAATTGTTTATTCTATTCTGTTTATTTATTATATTACATTCTATAAACAGCAATTTTCGTTCTTTCTTATAGCGCAGCGCTCACAGTCTAAAATAACATGGATTTCATTTTCCACTTTTTTATCATTACATTTTGTACATATTCTATCTTTTTCTTCCACTTTTGGCTTCCTTCTTCGTCCTAATTCAATTTCTAGATTATGATTACTTATTCTGAATTTTATTAATATTCTTCTCATGCTGAAGTCCTTTATTTCCTCTAGGTATTTTTCAGTTTTAAATATTGTTTTGAATAAACTGTATGTTCGTAATTTATTTCCCTCGTTTTTATTGTTACTTCAACTAACTATTTGATTTTTCCAGGTCTGTTTATATTCATTTGATAGTTTATTTTCGATATTTTTTGAGAACTGATTGATGTTTTTTATCTCGTATTCACCTTTAGTTTTATTAAATTGGTTCTCCCCCAAGATATGTTCAATCTTCTTTTTCTAGTTTGTATTGTTTTTAATGTTTTCTTTTAATGCACCATGTAGTATATGATTCACTGGCAGTGTGTTTAGTCTATACCAGTATTTGATTTGAGCTTTTTCTGCTTTGATCCTTATTGGGAGTCTACCAATTTCACCCTGAATACCCCTGATTGGGGCTACTTTACTTACACCTAATATAAAATGATAAAAGTAATTACAAATTTGTTCTAAGCTGTTATTGTCCTTTATTTCATGGGCCCAGATTTCTGATCCATACATTAATATTGGAGATATTAACTGATCAAATATTTTTAGACTCAGTGATACTGAAATATTTTTCTGACTTAGGGATTGTTTGTCGTATAATGCTTTCATTGCTTTGTTTCTTTCACAATATAGATTTAATTTATTCATGCAGTTTTGAAGACCTTCCATAATAATGTGAGTGGCTATATACATAATGTTATGCTCAGTACAGTATCTGGAAAACTGGAATGACATACATTACAATATTATAGTTTTAAAACCTGTGCTTCCCCCTGACTTCATGAAAAACTTGTAAAGAAGTCTTGGCTGAAACAAGTCAAGCAATCCAGACATATTTGTTTGAATTTGCCAGAAACATTGGGTAGGAATTGATTGATTAAAAAATATAGTAAAAATTGACCTAGTAGTGGATATGTTGTAGAAACTTGCCTCGACTTAGGTACCATGTAGAACTTGGCATAGTAGGTTACCTATTGGCAATGGGTATTTGGTTCAATTGACCAGAAGGCAATTGGAAGTGATTGATTAAAAATCAGTAAAATTGGACAAACAGACATAACAGAATATAAGCAGTCTTCTCTGCAACATGGTGAACTTCAGATGACAGTAACATGCATACAAACTGATAGAAAAGAAATCTTACTTTGACAGTCTTCTGTGATATTGATGTAACTGGTCTCTGGTAAGCTCTAGGTTCAGTTGGAAATGTAACAAAATACTCAGACAACTCATCACCCTCCTGGGCTTGGGGAAAATACTGGAAAAAAAAAATCAGTATATGACTCATCTCAA